TCTGTTGTGATATTGCCTTTTTCATCCCCTATGTTAGTAATTTGAGTTCTCTCTCTTCTCTTCGTTAGCATGGCTAAAGGCCCATCGATCTTATTTATTTTTTCAAAGAAGCAACTTTTAGTTTTTCAATGTTTTTTTTTTTGTTTCAATTTCGTTGATTTCTTCTCTAATTTTAATTATTTCTTGTCTTCTACTACATTTGCTATTGTTTTGCTCTTCCTTTTCTAGGTTTTTGAGGTGTAGTGTGAGCTCATTTATTTGTTGGTTTTTTCTTTTTTTAAGGAAAGAACTCCAAGAAATGAATTTCCCTCTTAAAACTGCTTTCATTGTGTCCCATAGATTCTGGTATGTTGTGTCTGTTCTCTCTGCTTGCTGGCCGCTTCTTGGCGGCACCATCTGTAGCCGAGGGGCGGGCACACACCTGTTTTATTGTTGCCAAGATCCATTCTTAAAGGAGGTGGAAGTCAGAGAGAGAAGACTCTATGATCTCAAAGCCAGTGATCATAGTGTCAGTTATAGCATACCTCTTGGATTAATAAGAATCACACACATTCAACTTCCTAATACACAGGTTACTTTGGCAGCAAAGATAGAATAATTTATTCTGAGAACAAGTCTAGAGTTAATTTCTTGTTGCTCTGCAAAGTCTGACTTTGCTCAGTTTACTATTGAAGTTAGGTGCTGCAAGTGCTTTTCATTCAGAGTGCAGACTCTTCTTTAGTCCCAGTATTAACTGCTATCCCAGTTTTCTAGAGCCCCAGATTTTCTATAGAAAGGCATTTAGGAAACCCCTTCCTTCACTCCCTCCTTTCACTGTATATGATTAGCCTCCCAGAGAGCTATGGTCAAGACTGCATTTGCACATTTGTCATTGTTAGGAGTAGCCCTGTCCCTGGAGGGTGAATTGAAGCTCATTCATCCAGAGAAGACTGTCAGTGACAGGCACTGCTTCCTCCTCCCAGGCTTCTGAAACAAGCAATATACTCTTGTAGATCATTACTCCTTCAACAGTATATCAGAAACATTTTTAAGTAATGTTTTAAAATAAAGAACAGGTCTTCCATAACTTTTGTTTTGTTAGGATTTGTTATCAGTAAAGAGAAGAGATGGTTTAAAGATTTTTAGCCATTTCATCCTTAGCCATACAACACCCCCACGTGTCTGATTTGTGGTTGAGAATATGAATGCAGTCTTTTGCTTATTAATTTAAGTTTTTTTCCCTTGAGTTTTAAGGATTCACAGAATTGAGAGAATATAAATTGTATTAATGACTAGAAAGTAGAAGGCAGGATCACAGTGAAGGAAGGTCCTAAAGTCTGCTGTCGTGCTGGCCTCCTGAAAGATGGGAATGGGCAGGGCTGTTGGGCATTCCTACACTCCCCTTACCAGGAAGCTTTGTTAATCTACAATTAATACTTCTCTGGTTGGCATCAGCCAACCTACCTTTCTTTTCTTTTTTCAGAATGCCTTCTTAAGGCAGTAAAGCAATAGAAGTTGTAGATTCTTCATGTATACATCTAATTTAAGATTTCTCCTTTCATGTAGAATCATAAAATATGCATTTTGGGGATAATTTTTTTAAGTCTTAAGTTTTACAACATAGAGCTTAGATCATATTTGGCAGTGATTTTTAAGCAAAGAAAAACCTACAATTATCTCTGTAGATTATTATCCTAAAGAGAAATCTCTCTTTGCTCAGGTCCAGTTTACAGCAGAAGGTAAAGTTGTAAGATTTGGGGAGTTTAAATGTTACTTCTTTATCTGATTTTGAAGGCCTCATAATCATTAGAAATCTGACTTTCTAATTTCTTCACATTTTTATGCTTAAATTGCATGTTACTTCTTTTGTTTCTTCTTATTATTAGGTATTTCAGGATTCTGATAGTTACCAGTCTTATAGAAAGCTGGTAATCCTTAACTGTAACATTGCAAACAGCAGCCATGAGAGTGTACAATTTTTCTTGTGTGTTTATATACTTAAGTTGGGTGGAGGAGTGAAAAATCAAAGGTTATTGCCATTGCCCTTGTTTACTCTAGCATTTAGATTCTGGAAAGTGCCTCTGATATTCCACTGCCTACACCTTTATCATTCATAACTCAGTCTGCACCTGGGATAAAGATGTGTCTCAGACTGTATATTCAGTTGGGCCCTGGCATTGCTAATGGAATTGGCAAGCCTATTCATTTAGAATTGTGGATGAGTGATCACTGCCTTAGCAGTCACAACAGAGCAACATTCTCAACACAGTCAGAGCTTTACTAAAGCTAAACACAGCTTGGAAAGATAATTTCTGGCTATATAAGCTAGATCATTGAGATAATTTGGTAGAAAGGTAAAGATTTTCATTAAGCACTTATCATCCAGGAAGGGGTCCAGCTGTTAATGTTTTTGAGAACCCAGTTGAAGGACAGTTTTGTGCTTATCTGGAATATTCTATGTTCCTTTGGGCCCATCTTGATGTCTTCACGACATTTTAAAATTTGAATAAAAAGACTTTTGTTCAAATAAAAACTATCTTGGCTTAAAGTCAGCACTTATATACACCTATCAAATGAGAATGGTAGTTTAGAATTTTGATTTGCTTCCTTCAAAAGCAATTGCAAAATTCATCTTTACTTGTATATACCAGTATTTCCTTCCTAATGCCCTTGATTCCTCATTTTTTCCCCACATTATTGACTATAGCAGAGAGCCACTTTCTGAAGTTACTGTTCAGGCAGGTTAAACAAGCCCCCTTAAAACCTGTAAATTATTTGCTCTGGGATCTTTCAAAGTTTGGCCACAAACTCATGATGTGATATCTGTTTTGAGTGTATATAGTTGCTGTGTACAGAATCTTCAAATATGTTCTCAAAAGCACATAATCTTTGAGAAGTAAAGCCTCATTGATACTCTTGTCATCTCTTTTGGGAAATTTGGGAGTAGGGATAGGTGTATGCCTATTTTCTTTAGAAGTCAAAAGAGAAAAATCCTCAGAGATCTTTGTGTGTTTTCCCCTCTTTCAGGTTGCCAACTTGGCCTGTTCCATCTCAAACAATGAAGAAGGAGTAAAGCTTGTTCGAATGTCTGCAAGCCAGTTAGAAGCCCTCTGTCCTCAGGTAAAGTACAGGTGGAAATGTTTATGATGTCACCAAATTGGATTTTATTAGAATGGAAATGAAGCTTAAGGTTTTTCTGTTCCTTTTCCTTCTCCTTCTCTTCCCCTTTTTCTTTCTTTTTACCCTCACTCCTAGAATTTTAAATAGAAGTCTTGGAGTTGAGTCACTGGCATAAATGCTATATAGATTGGAGACGTTTATGTTTAAGTGTTTCCTCTTGGCATTACTACCTCCTTGCCCTACATTAAAAATGCATAGTCTTGTTGGACTCACATGCTTATCTAGTACATGCAAAGAAGGCCTCGGCATTGAGTGGTGGAAAATACACACACCTACATAAGTAAATATATGTATGCATAGTGTCCTCAATTTCTGGAGAGTGATTACACTGCTCAGCTGATACCCTTTTCAGCAGGAATGGGGGGTGGGGGCACCTGTAACATCCAACTGGAACCATAATGGTTCCTCTTATCCTTAAGTGGTAACAGTTGTTCACCTGCATTCAATATCTATTGGAGGAAATCACATTGGAAAGTTTGTCTTCTTGCACTAAATGTCTTAAAGCAGCCTATGATACAATTTAATTCAGCTAGCCTCTAAAATAAAAGATCAAGAACTTTTCTACATTCATAAGGGCATATTGGAAAACAGGTAATTAGGCTAGGTTAAGCATGTGGCACTTTAGAAAGACTGAAGAACATAGAACATTGAATGCTTTGTGTGTTTATGTGTTACTGGGCATTGAACCCAGGGGTGCTCTACTACTCAGCTCTCTCCCACATCCCTATTTTTCATTTTGAGAGTCTTGATAGGTTTCCAAGGCTAGCTTTGAGCCTTGAATCCTTCTGCCTCAGCCTTCTGAGTTGTTGAGATTATAGGTGAGCTCCACCAGGCATGGCACAAATGTTTTATTAAGTATCCAGTGTGTTGCCTGTTTCCCATGATAGAGCTCACCTTGTCTGTGTGATTGCTGACATTCAGATTTCTAAGCAGTATAAGTGTGTTTCAATGGAAGTGGTTGCCTTCCCTTTTTCTCAAGTAGAGAATGTTCATGGCACACTCTGAGGATTTACATTAACCTCTCACTGCATGTCCTGCCAGCTGGCAGTGACCACTAACAAATGGGAATAAGCAGAGGAACTGGAGTAATAAGACAGTGATCATAGAAATGACACTGTTACTTTGACTCTTTCCTATAAATAAATATTCGCTTGAACCCAAGATGGTTAGTTTTCCGATGATTTTTTTTTTTTGTCTTAGTGTGATGTCTGGCTTTCCATAGCTTTAATACAATCATGAAATATGCCAGTGATTGATACTGTACAGATAATAAGTGCAGTGGTGTTAATCACCACCAAGTTGTATGAAATAAATTTAGATTGGATTTCTAAAGATTGGCATTCTTTCTTCAAATTTGCCATTTTACCCTATCAACATTTTGTTTTTAATATCTTTGGGTTCTCCATTTGGTTTTGAAATGCGTGAAAAGTGACAATGCTTCCACATATCTGCAGAAACAGATGGTAACATAACGCTGATCACACCTACCAAGAGTATTTATATAAATGATCTTAAAGTTTAGGGGGAAAAAAATCACATGAAGTGTCTAGTATATCCTAATGAAAATGCTAGTGTCCATAAACCGTGTGTGACTAGCCCATGTGCCATTTTTACTTTGCTGCCAGAAAGCCTCATTTCTCCCTCTTTTTACAGTTTTCATGTGTCCTACTAAACCAGGCATCAGGAGGAATGGGCTTTAAACTGTGTCCAGACAACACTTGGTATTGGGTATATGATCTGGATAAAAAGATGTTCTCCAGATGTGATTGTTTTCCAGATTCTCACTAGGCCTGTTCCTGCCCTTGCTCACAAACTGCCATGCACTTAGGGCTGAGACAGGTTCAGTAAGGACAAATACAGTGGGTGTTCACAGTTTTGGTAATGGCAAACTGAACAGGATGGGTCATTTGATTTTCAGTGAGGAAGCTGTGACTCTAGCCCATTATTGACAGATCCTTTCATTATTCTGAAAGATCTGTCAGCAATTCAAATTATTAGTCTCAGTATTGAACAATTGATAGCCTAAAACTTTGAAACTCTTTGAGGGTAGTAAGTCTTAATCTTCTGTGAGCTACACCTGACCTAGACTTACCCATGGATTTATGCTTCAAGGAGGTGTTTGAGTAATTGTTTCATACCTTCCCTTCAATCCTACATTTAGAGTCCAGGCATGAGGAGATGGGGAGAATAACCAGACTAAGCAAATGTAGTTCTCTTGCTTCTCCATGTTTGAGTCCACTTGAAGTTGAATGCTGAAGAATTTTAAAGTGAAACCCATTTAGCATGGTTAAATGCAGAAAACCATGAGTTTTATTTTGCACATGTTCAATTTGAAATATCTATGCTATATAGGCAGAGATATTAGGATATACTTGGGATATGAATTGGGAATTGCAATGATTGGTCTAAGTGGGAGGTATGGGAATACTTGGCATATGGGTGGTATTTAAAATCATGAGACTAGATAAAATTGCTTAAGATGGGAGGAGTGTAGAAAAAAGAGAAAAGCCAGTCCAGGAACTCCAACACTACCTGTTGAAAGAAGTCAAGATAGCAAGGGAGACATAGAAGAAATAGAAGTAATACATATTTTATTTTGAAACTATCAAGTTATAAAATAAAGAATACCTCTAATCTCTCTACTCTGAAGGCAAACAAAGAATGGAAGAGAAATTCCTCAGCCTGGTAAAGGATATCTATGAAAAATTGATAGGTTTTGATCTACAACTTCAAATTTAATAGTCTAAGACTGGATACTTGGGCTGGGGTTGTGGCTCAGTGGTAGAGCGCTTGCCTTGCACATGTGAGGCCCTGGGTTCGATCCTTGGCACCACATAAATAAATAAAGATATTGTGTTCACCCACAACTAAAAAATATTTTAAAAAAGACTGGGTGCTTAACTTTATGATCAGAAAAAAAGACAAGGATATTCACTCTTGTCAGTTGTAAAACATTGTACTGGAAGTTCTACCAGTAGCTGTGTTTTGAAAATTGACACCAATACCGAACATTTGTGCCTAGTTTTATACTCTTTGCAAATTTGTATTTCTTTCCCTCAGACCCCCAGATGTTTCCTAGTCATTACTACTTCACATTAGAATGCAGTCCATGTCTCTACTGGTATTTTGGTGTTCTTCGTACTGACTTATCTGTATATTTAATCTGACATATATGTTTAAATGGATAAGTCAATCAGAATTATAAATTGACGGATCCCATTGTAACTTAGAAATAGAGAATTTCCTACAAATATTAATAAATTCATATAGTTTTGTTGTTTTTAGGTTTAATTCATTATCTGGAAATAATCTTAGCACATAAAAGAAATAAACAATGATGAACTTAGTGCATATGATATATATGTGAATGTGATTCAGCACTTAAATGAAGTAGGTAATAAAGTATTAAGTGAAGACGTAATTTTATTTTTCTCTAAAAACTAAAAGATCATATGTAAAAATAATGCACCTGTTCCCCACTGATTTATGATGTCACTTTTATCATACATAAACTTTGCCAATGATAGTGTCTGGTTTTTTTTAATACTATTCTGATCACTTTAGTTTTATAATGCTTTTGAACTCCCTTTTCATTACTGTTGCTTTCTGTCTTCAAGATTTTCTTGGCTATTGTCAGACATTTATTTTCATATTAATTTGTGGATAAATATGTCAGTCTTCCTATCCCTGAATGAGTTTCCATTTATTTTAGTTTGTTTAATGTACCTTAGAAAAGTTGAGCTACTTGGTTTTTACTTTGTCATGCTGGTTTCTTGATAGATTGAATTCCATGTATTTCATTATTAATTGCTTTTGTGGAGATCTGACACTCCTCATTTTATGTTTTGTTATTTTTTGATAATGTAGAAAGGCTGTTGATTTTTAAGATATCTATACTGTCTCTAGCAATTCTAAGAGTTTTTTTTTTTTTTCAATTGATACACTTCAGTTTGCTACATAAAGGTAAAATCTGTGTTGAACAGTAATTTTCTCACCTCCTATTTCTAACAGCTTTTTCTGGCATTTCCGTTTCTCATTTATTGACTAGAGAGTCCATTTACTTATTTTTTAACTAATGGTGACAGCAGGTATTCTTATTAATACCATTTTGATTTTTAAGGTAATTGGTGCTTGAGTTTTATGACCATATCATGTTGGACAATTACTTAAAATAGTATGTTAATGAAGTATCTTTCTATTCCTAATAGAAAGGAGTAATTTTTACCAAACATCTTTAATAAGCAGTTTTATAATCAAAAGGAGAATGATAACTTCAGATGAGGTGGATCCCCAGTGTACAGTATATATAGTAGAAAATATATCTTTATATTTAAAACATAATTCTCTGCCCATGTAGGAAACATTTTCTTCAGCTAAATACTTGTATGATGTCTAGCTCAACTCAGATACATTGACATGTTAGTGAAATAATGAGTTAATGAAAACAGTAGTCCATAGTGAAAAAAGAAGGGTAAGAAGGAAAAGCTAGAAAGAATAAGCCTTAGAATGATGAAAATGTGGGAGGCCACAGCATAATATGGGCAAAGGCAGGCTATCTCTTCCTCCAAATTATTGTCTGAACCCAGACACTTTTGAAAGGGGTGGGTCATTAGTAAGTAATAAGCTCAAATGGCTTCATTCCAAGTGTTTAGAGGGAAGAAAAGTAGTGCACCAGTCTAATGGGTCTGATTCTTCTTTAGTCTGTTATCATCTACAGCTTTTATGAGCCAAGTTAATAACATGGTTCTTAAATGCCCCTGCAATAAATTGGAACTTCTATATATGATCTGAAGTGATATGCTTCCTGTAGCACCTTAAAAAGCCATCCCAAACTCTGTTCTCAGGTTTGCATGCCTGTTGCCTGTAGTTTTATGCCTTATTCAGATCCCTATTTCATTCCTTTCTACCACTTTTCTCTTGTCTGTGCTTTCTTTCTAAGTTGCATTACTTTAAACATATTTATTTCCATTAATCCATAAGTATTCTTGTACCTAGAAGTCCTGTTATTCTCAGTTCATTTTGATACTGCTCTCATTATTTTAGTTATTCAATATATGAAAGAATATGAATAGACATACCCCAAAGAGTATATACAAATGGTTAATAAGCACATGAAAAAAAAAATCTAACACCATTAGTCATCAAGGAAATGCAAGTGAGGTAATTTTATATCCACTTTATAATTAACTTTAAAATTAGGAGCGGGATGGTAAAGATATGGGGCATCAGAACCATCATCTTGGTGGGAAAATAAAGTGGTACAGCCATTTTGGAAAACAGTAAGGCAGTTTCTCAAAAGGTTAAAGGTAAACTTAACCATATGATCCAGCAATTCTGTTCCATCCCCAGAGAAATGAAAACTGACACACATATATGAATGTTCATGAAGTATTATTCATTTGATGAATGGATAAATAAATGTGACATCCATATCATAGAATATTACTTTTCAGAAAAGGATTGAAGTACTGACAACATGCTAAAACATGAATAAGCTTTCAAAACATTTTGTTAAAGAAACTAATTATAGAAGTCCACATATTATATAATTCTGTTTATATGAAATGTTCAGAGTAGGCAAATCCATAGAGACAAGAGAGGGGGTTAGTGATTGCCAGAAGATGGCAGAAAGTAGTATGAAGGGAAATAGGGAATTACTGCAAATGTATATACAGGTTCTTTTTGGAGTGATAAAAATGTTCTAAAATTGAATGTGGTGAGTGTTGCATAACTGACTATACTAAAAAATCATTGAATTTTATATTCCTTAAGTGGGCAAACCATGATTCATGAATTATATCTCAATAAAACATTGGATATGTTCACCCATGTGTGCACTGTGCAGTGCTGTGGATTGAACCTAGCCCCTTGTATATGCTAGGCACATGTTCTGCTGAGCTATCTTCTCTGTCCTAAAGAATTTTTTTAACTTAGCAGATTATATACTTTCCTATGTAATTTTTGTTGTTGTTATGTCTTTTTTTTTTTTTCTTTTTTGTACTGGAGATTGAATCCAGGGGCACTTTACCATGGAACTATATCCCCAGTTCTTCTTATTTTTTAATTTGAGACAGAGTCTTGCTAAATTGCTGAGTCTGGCCTCATCTTGCAATGCTCCTGCATCAGCTTCCCAGGTGTTGGCATTACAGGACTGCACCATTGTGTCCGGCTCCTGGGTAGTTCTTTTATGTGTTAAATATGCCTTTGTTAAAGACAAGCAGAGGAAAATGGAAATTGAATATATTTTTATGAACTATACTTTGATAGTGCATCTACAACGTGAAATGTTAGATTTTCATAACAAGATTATTAACTGGTGGTGGGAGAGTAAGCTAGAACAAGCTACTCTATAGTAGGAGAATAATATAGTATACCTATAAGATGGAATAATAAACAGTTAATATTTTCAATATATGTTTAATAATATGAAGGAATACTTGAAAAAACAGGATAGTCATTTTTATGTAGCATTTAATTTTCATTATGTAGTTCTTGGTGTGTCTACATTGTGAACTGTGAGGAGAAAAAAAGCTGAATTTAATGTCAGAATTATAGAATTGCTATCATGGAGTGAAGAGATTAGAGGTACTTTTAATGTATTTAAAATTGCATATAGTTTTTGAACAAAATATGTGTAACTTTGACTTTAACATAAAACCTATTTAACACTTCACCACTTCACCTTTGTAATAGTTATGGTGGAACATATGGTATAATGTGTCCTAGTGAAATTCATGTAAGACAAGGCCATTGCCACTGTACTGACCAAATTGTCCCATCTGTTTCATTTGCATGATTCTGAAAAAAAAATAACTTTAATATCTTTTGTAGGTTATTAATGCTGCATTGGCTTTAGCAGCAAAACCACAGAGTAAACTGGCCCAAGAGAACATGGATCTTTTTAAAGAACAATGGGAAAAACAAGTCCGTGTTCTCACAGATGCTGTTGATGACATTACTTCTATTGATGACTTCTTGGCTGTTTCAGGTAATGAACTGGTTCCCCAGCATAGCATGTAAGGATGTGCATAATTACTGGCATCTAATTTTACAGTAATAGACAAAGTCCCCCATGTCTGGGCAAGTAAAATAAATTATTTTAGTAATAATATTGTGTTAGTTTTCATTTTAATTTAAACAAACAAAGTACCACTGCCTCCTGAGTAATAGAAGATGGAATTGGAGCTATTTCCCTCATGGTGGGGCTGATCGAGATCCTGGAAGCACGAGTTAGAAAGCTATCTGAGATTTTCTCTGCTTTCATAGACTTGTCAAGCACAGTAACCACCCTTCTTGCTGCTACTGTGTTTAGAAAATTTGTTGACCTGTGTTGATCCCAGTAGACACTGTGGTTGTGTTATAAGCCTATGAAACAGAAGAAAAAGAGCTTCTCAGTACCATCACCTTTAGTTTCCTTTTTAAAATAGGTTTTGTTTTGTTTTTTCCCCTTCCTTTTCTTGGAAAACCTCTCCTGTCTCAGAAATGATCACAGTTTAAATGCCTACTTTTCCAAAGACTCTTTGTCTGAATGATACGTAGATAGAAAACAGAGAGGAAATATTTAAGTGCCTTTTAATTATGAACTTAGAAAAAATAAATCTGTGTAATTCACCTCACAAAAACAGTTGATTTCATTATATAAACATAAACTGGTAATGACATAGTAAATTGCATTCATATAGAAAATGTCTGTCAAATGCAATTTAGTGTTTATCACACAGAGATAAATTTCAATCATGTCTCCTTAGAGTTGAGCAACATTAAATACATTCTTCATTTATTTGGGCTTCTGTTGTCCTTGGCTTGGCTACATGGCTTTTCGCTGGAAGCACCTGGCTTCCTGAAGCCAGTGGCTGGGTTCTTGTAGGGCTGAAACTATCATACGGAACTGTGGGCCAGAATGTGGGAGATTTTGAGTGGCAATGGGGCTTGAAAGAGAAGCAAGACTTAAGTATATGCATAGCACAATCCTCCAGCAATGACCTATATAAGGATGACCATGTGTTCTGAATACCAATGGTTCCCTGTCTTTACAAGCTTTCCTTGGGTTTGGAAGTTCTGGCTTGAAAAGGTGAGAAGCAGACAGTCTGCAAACTGCAAAACAATAGGGCAAACCATGTTACTGAAGGACTGCCAAATTGCAGGTTACTGGTACTTTAAAACAAAAACTCATTTGCAAGCACAACTTTGCAGGTGCCAAAAATGCAGCAATGGCTTTTTTGGGAAATCTTGGCCTTCTGTTGTTTTTCCCATTGAAGTACCAAGTTATTCTTTTTCATAGGTTTAGAGAAAAACATTCCACCTTCACTGCACACTTTTAAGCAAACAATATATTCTGAAATCTAAATTCAAAGCCCCCCTCCGGATAAATACTGCATTTCTACAGTTGCTTTTTTGAGATTAGGTTGGGTATTGCTTAGACTTAGTCTCAAGGGATTTTCAGTTTTCTTACAGCAAAATAAAATGTAATAGAATCAATGTCCCTCATGTAACATTCTTCAAATCGGAGGAAAAAAAGGTATTCTGTAGTAGCATTTAGTGGGATCCAGGCAGTGTCTTCAAGGTATATGATAAAACAGAAGACTAGTAATAAACAAACTAACAAATAAATAAATAAAATTTAGAAAATTTTTAAGAATCAAATTCTTTAGCATTATACTTTTGTCTGGTGACTGTGTTTAATTTTTATGCAAGTATATGAGAATTTGAGAGAGGATTCTTTTGATGGAAAGGAGTTTAGACAGTTTCTGTTCAGCAGATGAAAATATGGAACTGTTGTCTAAGGAAGCTATAATTTTTTTTGTTTGTTTATTTAATTTTTTGTAGTTGTAGACGGACAGCATACCTTTATTTTGTTTTGTTTTTATGTGGTGCTGAGGATCAAACCCAGTGCTCTGCCGCTGAGCTACAGTCCCAGCCTGGAAGTTGTAGTGTTTTTAGAGCATCTAAATCTTAGAGGGCTACCTGGTATGTTTTTCTAATGTTCTGTCATAGGGTTGCTTGAGGGCTGTCAAGTAGTAATTAGTAGGACAAGGCTTTTATTCACAATTCCTCTGTTTTTAGGGGCATAGGAGGAAGGGAGGAGATAAGCAGAAGCCAATGCATAGTTCTAGTAGACTGAGCAGTTAATGTCCAACACTCAGAATCTTTGACACACGTTAAGCACCTACCCTACCCATTGCATCTCTAGAACTTTTTTGTGGGGTGACTGGAGGTGACTCCTATTCTTACCTGATACACAGCCTAGGTAGGTGTCCTTTATAGTGGTTATAGGCAGTAAGCAAGAAGCCACGTCTTGTCTTCACTCAGACGTGCACCATGTGTCAATTTCCCTTTGCCCTAAAGCTCCTGGGGGCCATAGAGGTCCTGTTGTGAAATGAGCTTGCTTTTGAGTAGGGGGGCTGCCCAATAGAGTCTGGCTTAAGGTAGGTGAACTTGATATGGTTCAGCTAAAGGTAAGGCTGCTTGATTTCTTGGCGTGGTTATTTCTCCTATATTCTGGAGCCTTGAGGCCATTCAGTAGTATGAGAGGTTTTGTGGAATAGCTCCACTAATGATTTCCACAATCAAATTCCCTCTTAGAAGCCCAGAGGTCTAGATATTTACTGTAGTCCTGCCCACTCCAAACCCACCTAAGAGGAAGTTATTTGTGGAGTAGAACTGAGCATCCTCTATTATTTCTGGCTGCCCTCCCACCATGATTCCAGAAGTTCCTGCGTACTTATCATAGATGATATCCTGATTTGTAGCTCAAAGGGTAAGACATTTTACTTAATTTTTGATTTTGTGTTTAATAGTGGAAAAGCAAAACTATAGATGAAAGTTTCTCTTTGGAGGGAGTGATTCAGTTATTGGTGAAGTTAGAGGATTTGATTTCTAACTCCCAGGCCCACTAGATATATGACCTTGAATAGGCAAGTCACTCAGAACTTTGTGCCCCAGTTTCCTCATGTGTTTTTGTTTGTTTGTTTTTTAATGTCTACACTATAGAGTAAAATGTCAAGCACTCAAAATAGTGCTTTGGTTAAAGTAAGTCCTCCACATAAAGCATGAAACAAGATTATCATAGGTGCATCTTCTGCACTGATAAAGTCATCCAGACCAAAGAATCTGAAGATAGGCCTTGTTTTTAGACGAGAGCTCTTACAGCCTTTCTGGAGAATGCCAGTTGGCATGGTTCCTGTAGGGTAATTAGGTACTATTTGGTTACTTTAAAAATATATGTCTTTTAATTCAGTAGAACCTCATTGGCTCAAAATTTTCCTTAGGGTAAGTGTCACAAATGTTTGTCAAAATACCTGTATAAGACTTTTCCCCCCACCAAAATACCTAGGAAAAACTGGAAAAGTAAAATTATAGCCCCTCCATTTATTCCATAGGTGCTTATACAACTATTAGAATGGACAAGGTAGATCTATAAAGGCATACCTAAAAATGTTTCAAGTGATAAAGATATACTAGTGTCTTCTATGGCACTCCTTGGTGTCCATTTACATATAGCTATACATATTTACATAGACAGTGGTGTGTGTATATATAAATTTTTTTTCCTATTAAAAGCACATCTACAGGGCTGGGGATGTGGCTTAAGCGGTAGCATGTTCTGGCATGCGTGGGGCGCTGGGTTTGATCCTCAACACAACATAAAAATAAAATAAAGATATAGTGTCCACCTAAAACTAAAAAATAAATATATTTTTAAAAAGCACATCTACAAATAAAGATTGTATTAAATAGTCTTTAAGAGGGGGTACAGATCGGTGTGTCTGTTCATAATGAACTGAATTTCCTGAGAAATTCAGTTAATGCTAGAGTGATATGAGATTATAGTTAGTGTGGGTACCTCTTAACTTCCTGCATTTGCACACAACTAGTGGACTCTCACTTATCCTTAGGGCTGTAAGTATAGAGAGCAGGCTTAGCACTGTATCCTGGGTATGCGGTAGCTCCGAGTAGGCTTCACCTTTCATAGAGCTGGGTCCTGGGTATGTGGTGGCCCCAAGTAGGCTGCAGCTTTTCATGTTACTTTAGTCTGTTTTCTACAATAGAAGACTTAAAGGAAGTCTTGCTAAAGACTTGCTAAAAAATGGCATACCTTTCCCTGGTTTGAGGTCCCTGGAAGAAAGCCAGTATGAATTCAAGAAAATCCAAATTGATTTTTTTAAAACATAGGTATTTACATGAAGATTTGGTCCACTATGTTTAATGAATAAAAAGGATGTTATACTTCATTGATTCTAAAATATACCCTCCTGCAATAATCCCTATAGGTATTAACAATCTTGAAATGGGAATGAGTCTTAAAATCAATGATAGAAGAAAATTTTGGTTTATGACCTTGTTAGCAGCATCTTTTCCTTTCCCTTGTATGATATAAGCTACATACATCAGTATTGTTTAGTAAAGGCAAAAGTTTTTAACTCAAGGCTTTGAAGTGTCGGCAAGCTTACTACCAGTTTGTTTAAAATAGTAAGTAAAGAGTTTACAATTTAAAAATGTATGATAAGCTTTATTAAAACTACAAAACACTGAAGAAAGAAATTGAAGAAGACCTTTGAAGATGGAAAGCCTCCCACATTCTTGGACAGGCAAAATTAATATTTTCAAAATGCCCATACTACCAATTTCTGCATTTCTTCACTTTTCTCATCCCTTTTCTCTCCCTCTCCATCTCCTATTCCACTTATCTTCCCTATCTTTATGATAGCTGACCCCTACCCCTCTTTCCCCCATCTTACTTTATTCTAGCTTCTGCATATGAGAAACTATTCAACCCTTGACTTTCTGATTCTGGCTTATTTCACTTCCTATGATGTTGCCCATAATTTCTGCCATAATTTCATTCTTCTTTATGGCTGTGTAAAACTCTGTTGTGTATATATACCACAGGTTAATCCATTCATCTATTGACAGATAAATTGTACTGCTATAAACATTGTTGTGACTATATCACTATAATATAGTACGATGATTTTAGTTCTTTCAGAT